CGAAACATGCATTCTCTGGCGTATCTATCGTATGCTCTTTAATCATTTTTTTCGAAAGGTCTACCAGCTTCGCCTATGTAAAATAGGACAGATATACTGATATAGATATATAACAACCCTCCCTGACCAGAAAGCAATACGGCATTGCATCATTCCATCTTTCATATATATATACACCTTGGTGTCGAATTTCTAAATCAATTTCCTCCGAGTGCCGATGGGGAGTGTGCGTAAAACTTCGCTATCATTAATGCAAGAGCAGATAGATTATGTTTACGGAGCTTGTTAGATCCTAGTTGCACACTTCCTTTAGTGGGTCGTGTGGCATGGTTTGGTTTAGTACTGGTCCTCCGGTTCACACCTGGAGTGCCCTAGGTTCGAGTCCTGGTCAGGGAGGGTTGATATATATATATATATATATATATATATATATATATATATACATATATGTGTGTGTGTGTGTACATACACACACACACACATATACATATGCATGAGCTATGATGTAACAAAAAATGAAGACGTTTTTATTGCTCGTATGGATTAACTGTACTAGGCACGTGGATATCCTCTTGCCATTTGCTTACCTAACTACGTTTCCGACGAAAAAGATGAAAATGTGGGTGTGGGATGTCCACAGAATGTCTTATCAGATGTGGATAGATAAACTCGCGTAAATCCTTTGGTGATATATTGACAGTAGAGACTAGATACACGAGGGTCGGAAGTGACGTACATCCGTCCCGTTCCGTGGTGACAGTGCGACTGACTTCTGTCTACAATAATAACAGTGTTGCCATATCATTGGTCCATACACAGTTTACTAATATGTTACACATATACACACATCTCCCCCCTCCTCACGTTCATAAGCCTATGAACGGGAAGCAATACGTTGAGAACGTCGTCTGGCACCATAACTTCTGGGTTGACGACGTCTACGTGGGCAAGGAGAATCTTGGGCTGGGCGGTCGGGGGCGTCATCACGCTTGTCCTCCACAGGTGCGTGAGATGGAATGGGCACAACTCGAAGGAATCGACGATTTCTCCAAAGTACTCGTCCTGAAGGCGTCCGGAGAAGGTAGTCGCGGCTCCGACCAATTCCCATGACTACAGCTACTTTATTCCATCGTTTGGAGACAGGATCTTGTATCCGGACTTGCGATCCAATCTGCAGTGGCTGTAATGGTCTGGCGTGCGAGTCGTATAATGCCTTAGCAGCTTGTGTCCTCATAGCTGCACGGCGATCACACTCTTGTCTTTGCTTGCCATTCTGGAGCAAAAGATGAGCTGTGGGCTGGAACACGGGAACGTAGAGGGTGGCCAAACAAAACTTGCGCAGGGGAACGGCCATCCTGACGTGGTGTGTTACGGAGTTCCAACAATCCACGGTCGAAAGCTTCATTCAGGATACCAGAAGGGGCGACCTTCAAAACTAGGTGTTTCAAAGCCTTCACTGCAGCTTCTGCATGACCATTACTCTGTGGATAATGGGGAGAGGATGTATCATGGCGAACACCCCATCGACACAGAAAGTCATTAAAATCTCGGCTCGAAAACTGAGGTCCACCATCAGTGCGCAGCCGAAGAGGGACACCTAGGTCGCGGAAGAATCTTCTGAAGAAACTTATAGTGGCGGCAGCTGTAGTGTCAGTGCCACAGCATGCTATCACAGGCCATCCTGAGAGTCGGTCAACATACACAAGGAAAGACTTCCCCGCTGCACTGAAAAAGTCAGCTGACACAGACTCAAAGGGTTTGGTGGGTGCTTCTTCTGTCAGCATGGGCTCTTGTTGCTGACTTGGTAGAAGTACTTGGCAAGGCTCACATGATCTGACTGCATTTGTGATATCTGAATTGATACCAGGCCACCATACAGTCTGTCGGGCACGACGTTTTGTGGCCTCCACGCCACGGTGACTGTCGTGTAGGCGAGCCAACACTTCTCGGCGAAGGGTAGAAGGAACTACAATGCGGGGTCCCAAAAGGATAAGGTCCTCATCGTGATACAAATTGTCACGTTCCTTCCAATATGGGAGTAGGTCAGGGTCCAAATTGTCACGGTTGGCAGGGAAACCATGAGTCACTTTGTCGAGGAGCTTGACATATACCGAATCTTCGCGTGCTGCTGCTCGCATCTTATCAAGCACCAAGTCACTTGTCTGTATTGTCCCTGATACTGTGCTCAGAGTGGCCATACGCTGAGTGACTACACATCTGACATAGTGACGTGTGTCATCACTAAGAGCGATATCTTCAGGGGATGGTGAATCCACAGGAGCACGGGAAAGGGCATCTGGGATTGAGAGTTCCTTTCCTTTACGCCATGTAGCTGTGAAGACATAACCTGCTATCTTCTCTTTCAGGCGTTGGAGTCGGGGGTTATCAATAGCATCTAATGTGTACGAGTTAAGTATGGGCACCAGAGGTCTATGGTCTATCATCAAGGTGAAGTGGGGCAAACCAAGTAGGTAATATTTGCACTTCATCATAGCCCATACTGCAGCCACTAATTCCAACTCAATTGTGGCATATCTCGTCTCCACATCTGCTAGAAACCGGGAACCACATTGCACTAATCGCCATTCTCCAGGCTTATGTTCTTGCAACAGTGCATAGCCTACACCATAGAGACGGGAAGCATCTGTCTGAAGTATGGTCTTGAGTGCTGGGTCGAAATGGGCGAGAACGGGTGGTTGTGAGAGAGCTTTCTTCACACGGCTGAATGCTGCATCATGGTCAGGAGTCCATGTGAAGGTACACTTGGGACTCATAAGAGGGCGTAAAACATCAGCAGACTCGGCAATTGCAGGGGTGAATTCAGCCAGTTGGTTCACCAAGCCCATAAATGATCGGAGGTCTGTCAGGTTAGCTGGCTTTGGGAATTCGGCAATGGCACGAATTTTCTCTTCTTCAGCTGCAATTCCATTTCCTGACAGGGTATATCCACAGAATGACACTTCTGGGGCTGCGAGCACAAACTTGTCAGCGTTCATGGTAATGCGATGTGCACGGCATCTCATAAGAACTTCCTGTACTCGCTTTAGGTGGGATGCATAGTCCTCATCCCATAGAAGGACGTCATCTACCACCTTCACACACTGTTGTACTCCGTCGAGTGCTATGTCACCTCGACGACAGTATTCATCACCTGTGGCTGCAAAGCCCATGGGTCCACGACAAAAGCGGAAGCGACCATAAGGGGTGATGAATGTTGTTAAGTGTTGATCTTGCTCTTCTAAAGGTATTTGCCAATAGCCATATAAGGCATCCAAGGTGGAAAAGTACCTCGCCTTAGGGTTGATACGACGAACAGCATCATGAGGCGTTGGTGAGGGATGGGCAGGGCGTAGCACTTGACTGTTGAGTTTAGTGAGGTCAACAGTGATCCTGACTCCTCCATTAGGCTTAGCTACAGCCACTAAGGGGTGACACCATTGTGATGGTTCATCACCTGCAGGAGTAATGATGCCCTGAGCCACCATGGAGTCCAACTCTGTCTTGACGTCATCCCGCCAGGCAAGGGGAATGACTCGGGGAGTGTTCACTGCAAATGGTTTGGCATTTTCCTTTATAAAGATCCTCATAGGGGGTCCACACATCTCCTTGAGCTTCATACCCTGTCGGAAATCTTCCTTCGTCATGAGAACATCTGGAAATTCTCGAAGGAAAAACTTCTTCGCTTCATCAGGAGATGCTGAGAATGGAGGAGGTCTTGGTGGATGTAACGGGAACTGTTGTGATGGTTGAGGTGGAGCTGGCTGTTGGCCTGTGGCCTCCTGGGGTGTCACTGAATGGTGATCAGGCATAACTTTGGGAGTTGTAACAATTCTTGCTACCTCTCCAGGTTGAACTGTTTGCAGGTTTTCACTGGGAAAGCGTTTACCATGCTTTCTGCCTAGGATCTGTCGTGGGTAGTCCTTGGGGATAATTTGTAGCTGTTGTGTGTGGCTCCAAGACAGCAGAGGTCGTGGTAAAGAACTCAACACATTTATCCAACCCTGTATGGTGACTGTACCATACGTCATGCTTGCATATAATGATCCAAGGACAGTACAGTTCATATGCGATCCATCAGGATTATGCAGCCCGAAGTTTGTAGATTTGTCCAGGTTGTCTGTGGTTAATCCTAGAGACTTGAGAAGGGTAACATCCATCACGGTTGTGTCAGATCCTGTGTCAGGTATGCAGTCTACGTATGCTGAAGAGTCTCCTGACTGCACTAACAATCTAATCGTCGGAGATGCAGGGCCTACACGGGATTCAGTTTCAACTGCGCAGACCTTGGCTATGTTGTGCGAAACTTGGGAAACTGAAAGAACATTACCTTCTGTGGGTGGTATCCTTTTCTTCTTTGATGACTGACAGCGGCTGGCAAAGTGACCTACTTTGCCACAGGTACGGCATGTGCTAGTAGAAGCAGGGCACTTTTTCTTGACGTGTGTCCTGTATCCACAATGGTCACAAAGTTCTTTTGGCTGTGGTTTAGGAGACTTAGCAGGGCGACTGTTGGCTTTTCGGTAGGGTCCTTCAGTGTTACCCTTGGCAGCTCGCCGCTTTTGCTGCTTATAAACAGACAATGCACGTGTAGCTGGTTGCAATGGGCGTAATTCTTGGGTGGTAGACTCGGCAGCCTCACGAGATCTACACACAGTTATTACGTCATCAAGGGTGGCGTTGGACTTCATCTCTAACAGGCGTTGTTTGGTCTCTTCATCTTTAACACCTATCAAGATAGCATGCTTGATTTGGGTCTCGATACAAGCATTGCTATGTCCTTTACACAGATCCACATCGTTTGCAGCTTGCTTTAGGCGTACATAAAAATCTGTAAATTTCTCATTGTGGGCCTGCCTGCACTGGGAAAACGTGAGACGTCGTAAAGCCTCATTCTTTTGGTCTCGAACGAAGTTCCGGATTCGCTGGAGGACATCCCTGAGAGGCAAATCTGAGGCTGGAGACACGCCTAAACTGTGCTCCAGTGTTCCTCTCATGTCAGCAGATAAGCACGCACGCAAGTGTATTAATTGCTTATGCTGAGGCAGGTTATGCAGGTCAATCATGACAGCATAATCATCCCAGCGTTGTCGCCATTCTTTGTACGACCGCAGAGTAACATCTTGGGCGAGGGGTGGGGGAGGCTGGACTGAAGCCTTCATTGCTGGAGTACCTGACGAAGGCGCCGAAGTCGGAAGGTCTGTGGCGACAGCAGGCTGTGGTCCTACAGTCTGCGGGGGAGTGGGAGACGTGGTGAGGGTAGCAATCAGCTGCAAGAATCGTTGTTCCTCAGCCTTCCTTCTCTGCTCGTCGTCCTCTCTTCTACGTCTGTCTTCCTCCTGTCTTCGCCTGTCTTCCTCTTGTCGTCGGCGTTCCTCGTCTTCTTGTCGTCGGCGATCTTCCTCTCGACGTCGTTCCTCGTCTTCTTGTCGTCGGCGATCTTCCTCTTGTCGTCGTCGTTCCTCGTCTTCTTGTCGTCGACGATCTTCCTCGCGTCGTCGTTCCTCGTCTTCTTGTCGACGTTGTTTTTCCGCCTGTTTCCTCTCCTCCGCCTCATGCCGCCAGATTTCCATCATTTGCGATAGTACGTCCATGGGTGGCTGCGCTTCTGGTGGCGATGTCGAAGAGGGAGACGGCGTGACTTCCTCTTGTTTAGCCGCTGCTTTCGTCTTTTTAGGCATTTCGGTTTATATGAAGTATATTCTACGTGTCTGGTGGTTCGGAGTTTCCTCGTGGCGCCTCGCAGACGGACGCTGCGACGTCAGAGCTGTTGGGCACGGTCGGCCAATCCTGGGGCTCGACGTCACGAAGGGGCGGAGCTTCTTCTCTCGGGCGGTGTGGTGCGGCGAGAGGGCTAGTGCCGCTGCAGACAGGATGCGTGGTGATGTAGAGCGTAGCTCTGGCCAAAATGACCAAAAATGCGGGGGAATTGAATGACAGCTGTATTCCCTGCATATACTACACCACAAGAGATCACAGCACTTCACTAACACCACACAAGTCACTCAGACACTTCACAACATGAGGGTAGTCACTGAACACGAGGACGCTGCATGGCTGAGTCACACTGCCGGTTCCCCTCTTTACTGTCTTTTCACTGAAACTCACTGCGCCATGTGGGTGTGGGATGTCCACAGAATGTCTTATCAGATGTGGATAGATAAACTCGCGTAAATCCTTTGGTGATATATTGACAGTAGAGACTAGATACACGAGGGTCGGAAGTGACGTACATCCGTCCCGTTCCGTGGTGACAGTGCGACTGACTTCTGTCTACAATAATAACAGTGTTGCCATATCATTGGTCCATACACAGTTTACTAATATGTTACACATATACACACAGAAAAAGATCTCTCTCTCTCTCTCTATCTATCTATCTATCTATCTATCTCTCTCTCTCTCTCTCTCTCTCTCTCTCTTTATATATATATGTGTGTGTGTGTGTGTGTGTGTGTGTGTGTGTGTGTGTGTGTGTGTGTGTGTGTGTGTGTGTATGTAGAAACATGGTATGTTGGCTCGGCTCATTTTCCTCAACCTTCCTCTGTCTCTGTGAGAAATTCAGCAATTATGTTAATTCACTGACGTAACAATCCAATCATGAATTTCCGGGTAAAGCAAGATTTTCTAATATCCGACATTGATACTCTCTGTGAGTAGGAGGATGCGACGGACTCGTCTAAAAAAAAAAAAAACTATGACGACATCCCTGCTTACTGCCCCCTCCCCCCCAATTAAATTGTGAACTTTTAAACAAACCAGCCATTTATAGATAATTATCATAATTTACTCTATTAATTGTAACTAAGTTTTGCTATCTTAATATACCTACAAAATCAAAAATACGTAAAATCATGGGGTTTGGCAATTGTATGTGGTCAAGATATCTTCACAATTTTAACCTATGTATCTTTTAAATGTCGAATCAATATTGATCTCGACATACATACATATATACACATATATATATATATATATATATATATATATATATATATATATGTGTGTGTGTGTGTGTGTGTGTGTGTGTGTGTGTGTGTGTGTGTGTGCGTGTGTGTGTGTGTGTGTGTGTGTGTGTGTGTGTGAGTGTGTGTGTGTGTGTGTGTGTGTGTGTGTGTGTGTTTGTTTGTTTCATTAATTCATGTGATTAATTACAAATCACATCATACGTTTCTTAATAAACTTTTCATTGTAAATGTGCACAATTTTTTTTCTGTGCCTTTTTAGCAGTACACCATATACAGGTTCACTCTATTTGGGTAAGATTTGAAGTTAATCATGACAGTCGCTGTAACGAATCATATGACGTGGTTTTGACTATGATGCAACTTTACAAGCTCAATGATATGAAAGAAAATGCGGTGTATCTCGATTTGGTGATGTACTGCAATGTCTGTGATTATTGGAATTACTCAACTGTCTGATTTGGACACGAAAAATCCAAAACCTTAAGCAGCTTCCATTTTTATATGAGGAATATATATATGTATATATATATATATT